AGGATGAAAGTCTAGGCTCCCCAGCCAGCCTTTGCTGGCATGGATGGAGGAAGGACTACAGTTTTTTCTGTGGTTTTGACTGGAGTAAAATGGTTTTTGCCTAAATGGCAACTGTTTTACTAGATTGAACCTTTGTTGGTCATTTGGACAGAGAGAGTAGGCTTCTGTTAGTATTTTTGGCATTTTGTTTGTTTGTTTTGCACACTTTGGCCTTTCTGGGTCAATGGTTTCTTCAGCTTCAATTTTAGGATATATAAAGAAAACAAAATAGCAAAGCAGCAAAACAGGGAACTCACTTCACCAGTGTCATTCCTCAAGTTCTGACTGTCCAAGCCAGTCAGCCTCTGCTCTTCACCATTCACAGCATTTTTATGTTTCTTTTGTACTAATTTCCAAGGAATTGAGTTGTATTTTGCAAGAGGAACATCTACTCCATCTTCCCAGAAGTAGAATCCTGTATGCTTAGTTTTTAACAAAATAATTTATCGAAATAAATGCTATGTTCTCCCCTCTACTGTAATATTTTCTAATCATTTAGTCTTATATTCCCAAAAATATTTATATGTTTTTGTATAATACCATTTGGTACATTAATGGGCAAACAAAAATTTATTTATTGAAGCTGTTATTTTTCATATCAGTTGAAAGAGATCCTATTTATGCCATTTAATGCTTTGTGTGCTAAATTCCACATTGTTTAATGTTAAGTCCTTTGCTTTATTCTGCTTAATATATAGTTGCTTAGCATTTTACTTTTACTTTTACTTTTTCTGCATTACTTTGCTTTTTAGACTTCATCTTGCTAATAAACATCTTGACTTTGGTATTTACATTTATCTATAATAAATTTATTTACATTTATTTATAAATCACAACACATTCATAAATGAAATATATAGTATTTTTTTTTTTTTGAGGAAGATTAGCCCTGAGCTAACATCTGCCAGCAATCTTCCCCATCTTTGCTGAGGAAGACTGGCCCTGAGCCAACATCCATGCCCATCTTCCTCTACTTTATATGTGGGACACCTGCCACAGCATGGCTTGACAAGCTGTGGGTAGGTCTGCACCCAGGATCCAAACCAGCAAACCCAGGCTGCCAAAGCAGAACATGCGAACATAAGCCGTGCACCACCGGGCTGGCCCCAATATATAGTAATTTTTTTTGCTGAGGAAGATTAGCCCTAAGCTAACATCAGCACCAACCTTCCTCCACTTTATATGTGGGTCGTCACCACAACACGGCAGATGAGTGGTGTAGGTCTGCATCTGGGATCTAAACCTGCAAACCTGGGCCACTGAAGAGGAGCATGCTGAACTCAACCACAGCACCACTACCCTATTGTCTTTATTTTTTTGGAAAGTAAAAACATTTTAAATTTTACAAACACGATTTAATCTATATTAATCTATTACATCAAGCATGAATTCATTTAAAAATATTTATTTGGTAATTATATATGCATTTTTATTTTTATTTTCACATTTACATTGTAATTAAGAACAAATGGATGCTAAATGTTTGAGCAAAAATCTCTACCTTGAAATATCAATCCTGTACTGCATTTTCAATTTATTTTTCACTGTGTGAACAGAATATATTAACTGACTTCCAAGAATCTGTCTTCCTTTTTTCCTTATTAATAGAATATTGATATTGTTTAACAAGTAAATGTGCTCACTTAAAAATACTCATCATACCAGATTCCCTCTATCTAGTGGTAGCCATGTGACCCACCTCTGGTGGTAGAAGCCTTTCAGGTGGGACACCTGGAGAAGCTATTGTTTTCCTAATATAAAATGGGCAGACTTAGCTGGCATGTGCTTCTTGTTCCTACCAATCTTCTTCCTAACTTAAGCACATGCCTGGATATGAAGAAGCTCATTGCTTATGCAGAACAATGTCCCATTTGCTAAAAAGAACAGAGTAGGAAGCTAGAATAAATTTATGGCCCAGGTTAAGGCACTCAGACTCAGATATTGCCTCTTATTTCTCTAAATTTTTTTAACTATTATTACAAAATGATTAATATACTTAGAATTTATTTTAAGAATTGTAAATAGTTATAAAAAGTCTTCCAACTTCCTAATCTCTAGCCTTTATATACATAATCACTCTTCATTGTGTATATAGCATTTCAGATGTGATGACTGCTCAAACGATTTTCTATTCTTCATCAGTTTCCAATGTATATATTGAGAGATTTATATATACTTAAAACATACTATAAACACCATTCTCCAACATACGTTTTTACTTCCTGTATCTTGTTCCTGATTTTTTCTAACACCTGCAAAGTTAATACCCTCTTTCGAAATCTTTTATGATCTATTTGCTCTAACATTGATAAGCCATGAAACATGTTTTCTTATATTTTTATCTACCCATTAAAGTGCTTTGTAACCATCCAACTAGAGATCAAGTGTCCCAATCACTTCTTCCAACATTTTAAAAGTCAACATATACTGATGATTTGAGCATGTCAATGTAATCATATTAATTGCTTAGGAATTGAATATTTTTATCCTCTTCCATTAATAATCCAAACTGTCCTTTAAGGCACTGAATAAAAATAAACCATTTCTCAATGGAATATTCAAATATGGAAAACTTAAAAAAACTTAGAGATCTACTTTCAATTAAAAAAACAAATATTTTGAATCAACAAAAAACTTTTAGAATTAAGAAGTGAGAATAGCAAAGTGGCAGACTATAAGATTAAATAAAAACATCAATGTATTTCTATATACTAGCAAAAACAATCCAAAAATGAAATTCAGAAAACAATTCCCTTCACATCATCAAATGAATATAATACACAGAAATAAATTTTAACAAGACAAGTGCAAGACTTATACAATGAAAACCACAAACACTGCAGAGAGAATTAAAGAATATCTAAATAAACTGAGAGACAGTTCATGTTTAAAAACAAGGATACTAACTAATATAAACATGGCAATCCTCCACAAATTGATATATAAGTTCAGTAGAATCCTTATCACTATCTCAGAAGGAATCATTGTAGAAATTGACAGACTGATGTTAAAATTCATTTGTAAAATACAAGGAATTCTCAATATTCAAAGCAATATTGAAAAATAAGAGCAAAGTTGGAGGAGTCACATTTCCCTATTTCTAATCTCAACTACAAATCTACAGTAATCAAAGACTGTGTGTTACTGGCATAAGGATAGATATATACACCTTTGGGATATAATTGAGAGTCCAGAAATAAACTCTTACATTTATGGCCAATTGATTTTTGACAAAGATAGCAAGATAATTCACTGGGAAAAGAATAATCTTTTCAACAAAGGGGCTGATATAATTGAATATCCACATACAAAAAGTGAACTTCGACCCTTATTTCACATCATACATAAAAATTCATTCAAGATGAAACACAGATATAAATTTCAGAGCTAAAATTATTAAAATTCTATAAGAAAACATAGAAGAAAAATTTTATGACCTGGAATTAAGTAGAGTTCTTAGATACAACACCAAAAGCACGATTAATAAAAGAATAGCATTTGTAAATTGGACTTCATAAAACTGAAAACTTTTCTCCCTTAAAAGAAACCATTAAGAAAATGAAAAGACAAGCTAGAATCTGGGAGAAAATATTTACAATTCAAATATCTGATAAAGGACTTAAATCCAGATATCTACTCTTACAACTCAGTAAGTCAAACAACCCACTTTTAAAATGGGCAAGAAAATTTGTATAGACATTTGACCAAAGAAGATATATACATATTTTATAAGCAGATGAAACGATGCCTATCACCATCACTCAGAGAAATAAAAATTAAAACCACAATGAAATACCACCTCAGACCTTGTAGAATGTCTACAGTGCAAAATAAAAAAAATACTAAGCATTTACCATGATGCAGAAAAACTGGAACCCCCATTAATTAATGCTTTCCACTTTTTAGAAAGCAATTAAGTTTCCTAAAAAGTTAAACATAAACTTACCAAACATCCCAGTAATTGCATTCCTAAGAATCTAGCGAAGAAAAATGAAAACATACGTCTACACAAAGATACGTAAGTATTTGTTCATAGCAGCATTATTCATAATAGCAAAAAGTGGAAATAATCCAAATGTCCATCAACTGGTGAATGGACAAATACAATGTAGTATATACATATAATGGAATATTATTGAGCAATCAAAAGGAATAAACTACTGGGTCAGTCTCCGTGGCCTAGTGGTTAAGTTTGGCAGGATCCACGTCAGTGGCCTGGGTTCAGTTCCTGGGCACAGACCTACACCACTCATCTATCAGTGGCCATGCTGTGATGGCAGCTCACATATAAAATAGAAGAAGATTGGCAACAGATATAAGCTCAGGGCAAATATTCCTTAGCCAAGAAAAAAGAAAATGGAACAAACTACTGATACTTGCTGCAACAGGAGGCAGCCTCAACCACATCACACTAAGTGAAAGAATGTAGATGCAAAAGACTACCTATTGTATGATTCCATTTATATAAAATGTTTAAAAAAGCAACTTTTATAGAGAGAAAACAAATCAATGGTTACTCCAGACTAGGGGGAGGAAGTAAAGATTAACTGCAAATGGGAACAGGGAAAACTTTTAGAGTGGTGGAAATTGCTAATATTGGATTGCGGAGATGGTCATACAGCACTGTTAATTTAGTAAAATAATTGAATCATACATGTAATATGGGTGAATTTCATAATATGTAAGCTATACTTCCTTAAAGCTATTAAAACAATGAAGACCAAAAACAAAAAACCCAAATATTTGTTTCTCTACAATTTAATACTTCTTTGCTCAACAATTTTTATGCAGTAGACACACAAGCTTTTTTAAGTTTTCAGATATAAGACAATACTAATATATTCACTAGTTTATTTTATATAAATGATCATGATGTGAAATATTAATCTATATAATTTGGGTATAGAACTTAGAAGTTAAAATTTCACTTCTATAAATTTATTTAAAATGAAGCCAATTACCTTTTTCAAAGCAGGGCAGAAATTAAAGAAAAGTCGACAGTTGTATGTTCTGAATCGTTCAGGAAGATGCCAGTTCTGAATTATTTCTTCATCAGAAATCACATGATGATCCAGTGCTTTGAGAGGCCACATACTGTTGACAAGAACATGTCTATATCCTTTTTTAAGGCTTACTGGACAATCAAACATGGTGAGGGCAAGGAGGCTTGGACAGGCTGATAACACACATACATTCTTTAACTTTGCAAAACCATTGTCATGAAGATAGAGGAGTTTTAGGTGCTTCAATCCACTCCAAAATTTGGTATCTGGTAGACTTTTTATCTGAAATATTATTAACAATAATACTTTAAATACAAATATTCATTTTCTATAAATTGCATGGAAAATGGAAAAGCATCAAACATCTAAAATTCACTATTTTCAGCAAATTTCCCACTAATAAGCAAAACAGAATTTCTAATTATCCAAATGATTGGAGTAAAAACAAAATACACTGGGCATCAGGAATAAGCTATGATTATTAGTGCAATTAAATGAATAAACAAATATACTTCATTCAGTAAAAATTAATTTGGAATAGGCTGACTCTTTAAACTTTTCTAAAATACTTTCTTTACATGAAGAATTAAGGAGTCAAATCAATCAATGTGATATACCACATTAACAAAATGAATGATGAAAATCATATGATCATTTCAATAGATACAGAAAAAGCATATGATATGATTCAATATCCATTTAGGATAAAAACTTTCAAAAAATGGGTATCCAAGTAATGTACCTCACCATAATAAAGGCTGTATATAACAAGCCCACAGGTAACATCATACTCAACAGTCAAAAGCTAAATGAAAGCTTTTCCTCTAAGATCAGGAAGAAGACAAAGATGCCCATTCTTGCTACTTTTATTCAACATAGTATTAGAAGTCCTAGCCAAAGCAAGTAGTCAAGAAAAAGAAATAAAAACCATCCAAATTAGAAAGGAAGAAGTAAAACTGTCACCATTTCTAGATGACATGGTATTATATACAGAAAACCCTAAGGACTGAGTCCACCAAAAAACTAGCAGAACTAATAAACAAACTCAGTAAACTTGCAGGATACAAAATCAATACATAAAAATCTGTTGCATTTTAATACACTAATAACAAACTATCAGAAAGAGAAATTAAGAAAACAATCCCATTTACAAGTGTATCAAAAAACTAAAATATGGGGCCAGTCTGGTGGCATAGCAGTTGGGTTTGCATGCTCTGCTTTGGTGGCCCAGGGTTCACCAGGTCAGATCCTGCACACGGACCTACACACAGCTTATCAAGCCACGCTGTAGACAGCGTCCCACATATAAAATAGAGAAAGATGGGCACAGATACTAGCTCAGGGCTAATCTTCCTCAAAAAAATAAATAAATAAAAATAAAATAAAATAAAACCCTAGGAACAAATTTAAACAAGTATGCAAAAGATCTGTACACTGAAAACTGTAAGAGATTGATGAAAGAAATTGAAGACAAATAAATGGGAAGATATTAAATACTCACAGATTTGGAGAATTCTATTGTTAAAGTGTCTATACTACCCAAAGCAATCTACAGATTCAATGCAATCTCTATCAAAATTCCAATGGCATTTTTCAGAGAAACAGAAAAACAATCCCAAAATTTATATGAAATCCAAATAGCCAAAGCAATCTTGAGAGGAAACAAAGCTGGAGGCATCATGCTCCCCAATTTCAAACTATATTTCAAAGCTATAGCAATCAAACAGTATGGTATTGGCATAAAGGCAGACACATAGATCAATGGACCAGAATAGAGAAGGAGAAATGAACCCACGCATATATGGTCAATTTATGACAAATATTCTAAGAATAAACAATGGGGAAATGACAGTGTCTTCAGTAAATGGTGTTGAGAAAAATGGACAGCAACGTGCAAACTAATAAAGCTGGACTACTATCTTACACCACATACAAAAATTAACTCAAAATGGATTAAAGACTTGAACATAAGACCTGAAACTATAAAACTCCCAGAAGAAAACATAGGCAGTAAGCTCCTTGACATCAGTATTTGTGCTGACTTTTTGGATTTCACACAACAAGCAAAGGCAACAACAGCAAAAACAAACTAGTGGGACTACATCAAAATAAAAAGCTTCTGCACAGTGTTGGGGCCCAGGGCAAACCACCCCAAAATATTCCACAATGGTATACTGATTATTTTGAATTACACTTACTTGAGAAGCAGCCAATGCAAAAAAAAAAAAAAAAAAAGGCATTCTCACCTTTCTCTCTTGGTTCTCCCTGAAACCAGGAAATAAACCCCCCTGTAAAAGGTATTCTCCCTGCATCCTTTCACCAGAACTAGGGAATTCAGGCCCAAGAAAACCTATATAAACAAACTTTGCTAATTTACTATGTCAAGCCTAAACTGTATAAATATCTCTATTATTACATACCCCAAACCTAAGTTTCCTTGTCCTATCATTCCTCATGAATTTATTGTTTCTTTGTGTAAAAGATAGATATATTGCCTACTTTATTCACCATTGGAGTATCACTTCTGTTTCATCTCCAATATGTACATATAAAAGTGGGTTTTTCTACTGTTAATCTGCTCGTGTCAATTTTATTATTAGTCCAGCCATAACAACACAAGAAAGACGTAAGGGGGGGAATTTCCCACTCCCTGACAACATCAAAGGAAACTATCAACATAATGAAAAGGCAACCAGTCAAATGGGAGAAAATTTTTGCAAATCGTATATCTGATAACATCCAAAAGATATAAAGAACTGACACAACTCAATAGCAGAAAAACAAACAATCCAATTAAAACATGGACAGAGGATCCAAGTAGACAGTTTTCCAAAGAGGACATACAGAAGGCCAACACATATATGAAAAGATGCTCAACATTACTACTCATCAGGAAAATGCAAACCAAAACTACAATGAGATATAACCTCACACCTGTTAGAATGGCTGTTATCCAAAAGGCAAGAAATAAGTGTTGGAAAGGATGTTGACAAAAGGGAACCCTTGTGCACTGTTGGTGGGAATGTAAATTGGTGCAACCACTATGGAAAACAGTATAGAGCTTCCCCAAAAAATTCAAAAATAGAACTACCATATGATCTAGCAATTCTCCTCCTGGGTATTTATCCAAAGGAAACAAAAACACTAACTTAAAAAAATATATGAACCCCCATGTTCACTGCACCATTATTTACAATCATCAAGACACAGAAACAACTTAAGTAGTCCATCAGTAGATAAAAGGATAAAGAAATAGTGTTATTCATACACATACACACACACACACACACACACACACAATGGAATACTATTCAGTCACAAAAAAGAATGGCATCTTTCCATTTGTGACAACATAGATGGACCTTGTGGAATCTAAAAAAATTTTTAAAAATAGAACTTAGAGATACAGAGAACAGACCGATGGTTGTGAGAGGCAGGGGTGAGTGAAATGGGTAAAAGTGGTCAAAAGGTACAAACTTCCAGTTATAAGAAAAATAAGTCCAGGAGATGTAATGTACAGCATGGTGACTACAGTTAATAATACTGAAGTGTATGTTTGAAAGTTGCTAAAAGAGTAGATCTTATAAGTACTCATCATGTTAAAAATAAATTGTAACTGTGTGGTGATGGATGTTAACTGGACTTATTGTGTTGATCATTTTGCAACATGCACAAATATCAAATTATTATGTTGTACACCTGAATTTAATATAATGTATGTCAATTATATGTCATTAAAAAAAGAATTAAGCAGTCAAAAAGTATTCTTAATCTAGACTATGGATTTAAGAAGTAAAATAAACCAAATCACACAATGCTTCTTTATATATTTTTAATTTACAATGTTTGCTTATATTTTAAATTTTGTATTTATACACATTATATATTTTTATTTATGTTTTATATAAAAGACTATTCTGCAAGAAATATTGTGAATAGTTACATAAGTGCTTATTACATATCAATTTCATTTATCTGAAAATATCTGAAATGGCTATTGCTTACCTGGTTGCCATGGAGATCAAGTTTGACTAATTTTATACAACTCTTAAGTGGACGAATATCTGTAATAAAATTGTTTGAAAAGATGCATACTCTAAGAGAGATACAAGATTGCAAATTTTCCATAGATTTTAAATGAAGGCCACTGAACTTCACAAAAACAAAATCTTTGTGATCTTGTATCACGTTTTCATTATAGTGACTCCATTCTTCATGATTGGTTAGCTCTTCTGTAATTGTTCCGTGAAACATCTAGGAAAAACGGGAAATTGCTTTCAAACGGTTTTTTAACTTCAACAAAATAACTCCATCTGAAAACAAAAAATATTTGCTAACAGATAGTGAGATAAAAATGGATAGAAAAGTTAAAATAAAAATCTAATTCCCATAAAACCTTCTAACCCAAAACATCTTAAATGTCTAACATTTATATAACTACAACTCAAAAATGCACCACTGCCCTCAACAATGAACTAATATCAATAAGAACAAAAACTTCCTTTTTCTAGAATACTTAGAGAACATGGAATTCAGTGAAATAACTGAGATAAAAACATCACCTCTAGGTAAGACAACTAAAACAAAGAAAACTATACCATACCATACTTTGTACAATAATTTTATTTAAAAGATTCTGTTAAGGAAAGAAATGCACTGAATGATGAACCTGCAAGTCAGGAGAGTGATAATCTTTGTGGAAGAGGCTGAAAAATGCAGCTAAACGAAATTAAGGTGTAATAAAGTGCTTCAACTATTATAAACATTTATTCCTTAAAAAGACAATTTGCAATTACATCATTTATTTTTATGTCCAATTCAATTAGGCAAATAAGATAGAGAAGTCTAATGGTTTTGAACTCTAAGTTTATCTAAAATTTCAGGATAAAATCTTTTTTACATAATTTTATATAGTATTTTATTATAAATTAAAATTAAATTACAAAATTTTCCTTAACTGTGGGCAATTCTGGCTTCATAAAAGGCAGTCACCTAGTGATAGTTTAGCAAGTGGCCTATCTGAAGGCATTTGGTAAGATTAACCACTTTCCCGGTTGGGAGACTATTTCTACCATGTGGAGGTAGATCACAATCCAAATAAGAATAAATGTGAAAATCCAGATAAACCCTTGCACTCTTTCAATATAATGGTTACTTTTTATATCCTAGCCAAGGCCTAAAACTATAATCCTCTAGAATTATACCTCAAACTCTAGGTATCACCAAAGGAATTAATCAAAAGACAGATTCCTGGGCCCACATCATAACTACATTAACACAGTCTCTGGGCTGAGGGCCAAGGAATCTGTAATTTAGCATGCACCTAGGTAATTCACGGACACCGAGAAAGACAAGCCTAAACTACAAGTAAACCAGTCTTCCAAACAGAGGGAGCCAGACATGGAATAAATAGAGATGAATAAACCCTTACAAACTCAATAAACTCTGTAGGTTCTGAAATGAAGGGCAATGTCCAGAATGCATCTCAACTTTAAGACTCTTTATTTAGAAGTCTTTAAGAAGTCTTTCCTCAGGTTCTGCTTTCAAAGACCAACTTTTCCATTTTGGTCTAACATAGTCTAATGCCAGTTTATAACAAGGGCTTATAAGAGACCATATCTAGGGCATAAATCATGATGTTTCAAGACAGACAATGGAGTGCTCAAAAGTTTCAGCTCTTAAATTCAATTTTTGAAGTCAATAACAATTCTGCAAGAAATCTGTAAGGTGAAAGTAATATACCAAACAAATATTTTTTCCCTTTTTTTTAATAGTCAAATGACTTTTTTAAGATTAATAGACTTTATTTTATGGAGCTGTTTTAGTTTTACATAGAAATTGAGTGGACAGTACACAGAGTTCCAATATACTCCCTAATACCCCACTCCACACTCCACATCTTGCATTAGTGTAATATTTGTTACAATTTATGATGGAATCTTAATGCACTATTATTAACTAAAATTAAAGTTTTTTAGCTCATAAACTCATAACAAAATCTTTGGATAACCAACACACATCAACATGGTAGCAGAGATCCCATTTCTTCACATAAAGCTGAAGCTGACTTTATATCTCTCATTACTGCATTGGTACGTAAGTATATATTTATATATGTAAAATATTTATATATATATCAAAAGAAGATATATATAAAATTATATAAAATAAATAAAATCTTTTATTTCAAGGATCCATTTCTCAACTGATTATTCCATCTCTAATAGTTTACTTTTATATTTTCCATAGAAGATGTAATCTTCTTCCTAGCATTTATTTTCAGAGATTCTAAATAGTGCTATCAACTAAATATAGTTATACTGTCTACAAACTCATCAACAAGAAATTAAAATATTTTATTTTAAAGTTTTCTGGATTAATACTATCCATACGTCAATTGAACATGATGTCAGTGACCTACTACTGGTATTATTCAAAAGTAAATTTTTTTCTATTTCCCTTTATGATATCAGACACACTAGATAATTTGACTAAATGAAAGCTTTTGCACTTAGTGAAGCATTCTAACTGTAGCTAGCAATTGAACAATCTTGTTACTAGCTCTGTGAATTTAACTGATATTGTTTTAACCAGTCTCATAAGATAACATAGTTCTCTTCCCCAAAATGCTTAAATATGTATAGTTTTTTTTTCTTTATAACTCCTAGTGAGGGAGTTGGTGTGATCAGCATTATTGCCTCACTTGGGAACTTTGCTTACAAATAAGACATATAGTCTGAGGAAGAAAAACTTATTAGGTCACACAAATCCAAATCTGAGATAATCTTCATAACGTTACTTCATTGAATGTCTTCTTATTCATTTGGGACAACTACTTCCTAGCTTTAATCAAAAAGATGCCAATAATGGGGAAAAAAATCCTCTTTAAGAATTAAATACTAGAGTGATGAGAGAACTTTAAAGTTTCATAGCTACAGAATTTTAAAAAAATCTACATTGCCTGATTCTTTTATGTTTAAAAGCAAATTGCATGAAAACAATTAAATTAACATGTTGTAAAGAAAAATGGGAAAGTTGGAATAATTTTTAATTAACTCAACAATTAAAACTCTAAACAATTAATAACAGTGCCTTCTTAGTTAATGAAATATGCTGAACTCTGCTGTCTAAGGATGTCATACTTACTTCTCTCTCTTGGTATAACTCTCTTCAGGAAATCATTGCGTAGCTGATTCTTAATCATTTAGATTCCAGTTTTATGCTTACATTCCCAATTTAGTAATTATATATTTATATGTCATATAATCTAATTGTTTTCTTTCCAACTAATTTACATGCACCCTGAGAATACCACACTTACTATGTAGTTAGCTATATATTTTTCATAGTTTATCATGAGACCTAGAACTGAATCAGATTTCAATAAATATTTGTTTCATAGATGTAGCTGGCTATCACTTCCTTTCCTTAGAAAGACAGCAAACTTTGGGGAATAAAAGTTTAAAAGACTTCTACTCTTGAATAACTAATGGGTCATAGAAGAAATTAAAAGGGAAATAAAACAAAGAACTTGGAACAAACAAAAATGGAAACATAACATACCAAAACTTATGGGATACAGTAAAAGCAGTTCAAAGAGGGAATTTTACAGCAATAAATGACTACATCAAAACAAAAGCTCAAATAACCTAACTTTACACTCCAGGAACAAAAGAAACAAGAACAAACTAAAGCCAAGTTAGCAGAAGGAAGTAAATAACAAAGATCAGACAAGAAAAAATGAAATAAAGAATAAAAAACAAGAAAAGATCAACAAAACTAAGGGTTTGTTTTTGAAAGGATAAACAAAACTGGCAAACCTTTAGCTAGAATTAACAAGAAAAAAAAGAGAGGACTCAAATAAATAAAATTAGAAAGCAAACAAGGGACATTACAACTGACACCATTCAAATACAAAGGGTCAAAGAGAATACTAGGAACAATTCTACCCCAACAAATTGGACAACCTAGAGGAAATGGATAAACCCCTAGAAACATGAAATTTGCTGAGACTTAATCATGAAGAAACAGAAAATCGGAATACACCAACTACTAGTAAGGAGACTGAATCAGTAATCAAAAGCTTCCCATTGAAGAAAAGTCCAGGACCAGATGGCTTCACTGACAAATTCTACCAAACATTTAAAGAAGAATACATACCAATCTGTCTCAAACTGTTCCAAAAATCTGAAAAGGAGAGAATACTTCCAAACTTATTTTACAAGGCCAGCATTACCCTGATACCAAAACCAGATAAGGACGCTAAAGAAAAGAAAATTACAAGTCATACCCCTGATGAATATACATGCAAAAATTCTCAACAAAATTCTAGCAAATCAAATTCAACAGCACATTAAAAGAATCATACACAATAATCAAGTGGAATTTATCCCTGGGATGTAAGGGTGGTTCAACAACACAAATCAATGAATGTGAAACATCTCATTAATGGACTGAAAAACAAAAATCATATGATCATCTCAATAGATGCAGAAAAGACATTTGACAAAATTCAACATCCTTAAATGGTAAAAACTCTAAACAAAGTGGGAATAAAAGGAATGTAATTCAACATATCAAAGGCCATATTTGACAAGCCTACAACTAACATCATCTCAATGGTAAAAGGTTGAAAGCTTTTCCTCTAAAATCAGGAAAAAGACAAAGGTGCCCACTCTCACCACTCCTATTCAACATAATACTGGAAGTCCTAGCTAGAGCAATCAGGCAAGAAAAAGAAATAAAAGGCGTTCAAATAAGAAAAGAAGAAATAATATTGTCTTCGTTTACAGATGACATGATCTTATATATAGAAAATCCTAAAGACTCCATCAAAAAACTGTTAGACCTAATATATTCAGTAAAGTTGCAAGATACAAAATGGAAATACAAAAGTCAGTTTCATTTTATGTATACTAACAATGAACTATCTGAAAAAGAAATAAAGAAGAGACTCCCATTACAATTAGAAAGAATAAAATACTTAGCAATAAATTTAATCAAGGAGGTGCAAGGTCTGCACACTGAAAATTGAGAGATTTATGAAAGAAATTGAAGAATACTCAAATAAACGGAAATATAACCTGTGTTCATGGATTGAAATAGTTAATATTCTTAAAATGTCAATACTACCCAAAGCCATCTATAGATTCAATGCAATCCCTATCAAAATTCCAACAGCATTTTTCACAGAAAAAGGAAAAACAATCCTAAAATTCATATGCAACCACAAAAAAACCCAAATAGGCAAAGAA